CCTTTTATAGATAGAAAGTATGCTACTTTATCACAATTTTCAGTATGAAATCTGAATACATTTAATGAAATCTGCTGATTGAAGTTGAACTTTTGTCCCATACAGCATTAACATCGCTGTACTGCCGAGAGTTGAGTACAGTTTGAGAAGAGTGCACTTTTTTTTTTCTTCCCATTTGCACTGAATATTATGGAATTGTTATCACTGGAAGCTTTCACTTTTAATCTTTATATTTAAAAACAAGAGCATTCACAAACACACATGAAAGAGTATACTAGGGAAGAGCTTCTTGTGTTTATTGTGCAACTTCTAAAGAAACAAAAAGTAACAACCACAAGTCTCTAAAGGACGAGGATGGGTGGAATGGATGAATGGATGGATGGATGGCCAAATAAAAAGGAAAAGGAACAATCAGTAGTTTGAAACATGCTAAGATACTAAAGATACTCATAACTGTTAATCTATTTCAGTTACCTTTTCTGTTCTCTTCTAATAATTAAATCCAGACATCACACAATTAGTCACTAGATCTGCTCAAAACTGATGCTTTTAATATATCAAAATATATATTTTTTGAATCAATAAATACCTACAGGGAAAAATTGTCTTTTCTAATAAATAGTAATTTAGGAAAAACAGGTGTAGCTCTTTGTTTCATACTGTTACTATTCAACTTCAAATTGGAATGGGACGTAAGTAACATTTTTCAAAGAACACAGCATAAGAATAGCAAGCAACATGAAAATAATGTAGGTAAGAGATTTTTTTATAGCTTTTTGTTACATTTGATTCTTTCATCTAATTGGAAAGCAAGAAAAGTGATACTAAACAACATGTGGCTTGTGTTTTCAGCAACAATGCAAAGCATTACCATATTTGTTTTCCAGTCCAGCAATACTGTAAATAGAGTGCAAGGCTGAAGAAAAAAAAAAAAAAAAAAGAATCCTTCACAAAGGTGATTTGGACTATTTCCTGCATAACACACTAATAGCTGGTGACACAGGGCTCTGCTGTGTAATGACACTAAGTGCAGACCACCCCGTTCTGTGCTACACTCTGATGCTGTGCCAAACGCAAGCCACTGGTGGCTGGTCCTCACAAGGCATCAGCAGGGAAGGCGTGCCCTGGTATGCACCTTCCCCCCTTCTGCCACTATCAGGGTTAAGGGTGCCCATGACATGGGATCAGGTCTCCTGCCTGCTTGCTGTTTTGTGCATGCAAGCACAGACTATATTGTAACAGCATGGAGCAGGGAAGCTGTAAATACTGGTTTCTCATGAAAAGTTTTCATGAGAGAGAGAAAAAAATAAAAAAGACAACACAGCAAAGGCAAAAAGTCTTGAAATAATTCTGGATAAATTATCACAACTGCAATGTGAAGCTGTCAGCTCCTACCCTGCAAGCTACTTACAGAAGCCAGGCCCATTATCCGGGGGAATGTAAGGGATGAACATCCATCTGGACTTTGTCCAAAAGTAGTGTACGGTGTCTGAAACCAAGCCTTCTCGTTAGCCCAAACCACATCACATAGAGGCAATATAGATGCTCCAAGTCCAATGGCTGGGCCATTTACTGCTACAATGATAGGCTTCTTAAACTGAATAAAAGTATTCACAAAATTCCTAAAGAGAAACAAAAACATGCACTCACTACATATATAGAAAGAGTAAAATGACACCATCCCTTGAAAACATAGTAATAAATTCATCTGCACAGTCACATCACTTTCAAAACCAACCTGATAGCCTTCCACAATGAGGTGGTTAGCATGGTGGATGAGGGGAGAGCAGTGGATATTTTCTACCTAGACTTCAGAGTGAGGCTTTCAGCGCTGTCTCCCATAAGCGCAACAAGCTGTTGATAGATGAGCCAGATGAGCAGTGAGGTGAACTGAAAAATGTCCTAATGGCTGGCCCTGGGGGTGGTGACCAGTGACACGAAGTCTAGTTGGAGTCCAGTAACTAGTGGTGCACCCCGGGGGGGTCAGTACTGGGTTCAGTAGCGTTTAACACTTCATTCATGATCTGGATGATGGGGCAAACCGTACCCTCAGCAAGTTTCCTGATGATACAAAACTGGGCTGATATACTGGGGGGGGGGCATGTTGCCATCCAGAGGGACTTGACAGGCAGGAGAATCTGGCTGACTGGAACCTCATGAAGTTCAACAAGGGAAGTGCAAAGTCCTGGGGAGGAACAGCTCCAGGGACTAGTACAGGCTGGGGGCCACCCCAACTGGTTGGAAAGCAGCTTGGCAGAGAAGGACCTGAGGGGTTCTGGTGGACACCACAAGCCAGCAATGTGTCCTTGTGTCAAACTTTCTTCATAGTAGCTACTAAGATGCTGTGGTTTGGATTTGTGCTAAGATGGCTTGTAACACACCAATCTTCGTAGTTGCTGCCAGGACAGTCAAGGACTTTTCAGCTTCTCTGCTGTGCCAGTGTCTGCAGGTGCAGGATAAGCTGGGAGGGAGCACAGCCCCAGTTACTAGCCTAGGATTTGTTCTTAGGTTTTGATTGAGACTCAAAGTGGCCAATAATCTA